AAGGTGCGTTTTTGTATGTTTTGATTAAGAAACCAAATAATTTATTTGCAAAACTTCACGATTAGATAATAATATACTAAACTAGCTTCTGCCCGCGACTTCGTACGCGCAATCCCATTTTGCCCCCGTTCCCGTTCGTGATTTTCGGTAAAAAGTAAAAAAAAGTATTCTATAAAAAGTATCCTATGTCCGTCTCCTGGTTCTAAGCTACCTCCTTGCCAATTTTCATCTAAATCGATTGAGGCGTTCTTGAGTTATAAATAGTGTAACTAACATGACTTCCTTTTATAAATATACTAGCTTCTGCCCGCGACTTCGTACGCGTAATCCTATTTTTTTCCCGTCCCCGTTCATGATTTTCGGTAAAAAGTAAAAAAAAAAAATTTGGTCAAAAAGTATCCTATGTCGGTCTCCTGGCTCTAAGCTACCTCCCCACTAATTTTCAGCCAAATCTATTCTGCCGTTCTTGAGTTATAAGTGGTGTAACTAACACGACTTTCTTTTATATATAGAAGATAAGACTAGAAGTAAGTCGGTACCAATCCCAAAAAAGCCCAAAATCTTCATCTAAAACATCAAAACGTATATAATACAAGTTACCAATTGTACACACCGTTGAAATACAGAATACAGTCGGTAGCACAGCGTAGCAGTAACTCGAGGCTCGGGGGGTGAGAATCAAATTACACTGATTGCTGTCTTACGCTCGGTAGAGCGACTTAACGCTATTGTGTTGGGTATCAGAAATTGTGCCAGGCGGCGTTTTCGTTCTACCTAATCTACCTAGTGTATTATTGTTTTGACGAGGTCTGTATTTTATGTATTTTGAGCTGTGTCATGTTTAAGATGGTTAGGCCTTTACTTAGGGACTACAGAGCCCAATTATTTAAGAATAAGTGTCAGTATAAATAAGACTACTAGTGTTATTAACTTATAAACTAAAAGAAGCTACTCATGTATGTAATGTAATTAGAATGTTCATGATCTCGTTTATTGTAAATATTCGAAAATGTTTTTTAATAACAATTGTGAGACATACTAAATTAACTAAAAATCGTGGGTTACTCACGTGAATATACTGAGAAAAGGCTGTGCTGCTGAAAAGTAGACTGCATGACATCGCCGCGAAAAGAGTCCCTCAGTGGTTCGAAACTAGTAAAGCTTTTCTCAGTACAATTCAATATTCGATAATCATTTGTAAATTACATCATGAAAGTGCAATTAAGATGGATAAATGAGATAGTATCTTATTATCGTTAAAATATATAGTAAACAATCATACCAACAAATCATACAACAAAAAAAAAACATTTACCAACCTAAAAATTGTCCAATTCCCGCCAGAATTCCGCAAAAAGCGGCCATCTTTGATTTCCATAGACTACAAGCAAAGCTTTTCCTACAGAAAATAAATGTAACCTCCTCCGTTGTTAGATTAGAACACCATATTCATTGCTCCCGCTATAAATCTGTCAGGGGGTCGATGCACCGGGAAAGTTGCTCTACTTACGTTACGCTGTACACAATTTATTTTATTTGTTGCTGTTCTTGAATTCCAATTTGTTAAGCTTTATATATGTTGGGAATTAGAGTGGTTTGACTTGTGATTGATATTATTTTAGATTTTAGATACTTACGTTAATTACAAATTGTCTTTGTGTGATCAAATAAAAATATACCGTAAAATGAAAAACTGTATTATAAGTTAACATGCCACACTATTATACAAAATAAACTGTTGCTTTGCCACCATATCCTAACGAGAAGACTAGCCCACAGCCAAACATAATGAAAAAATCAACAACTGAATTATACGCTTTGATAATTATAAATATGTATAGATAGAGCGCCATCATACTATAGTAAAAAAAAATACGTTGCAAATTTCCTTGCATGTGTGCGTTCGGCACACATTTAACGCCATGGGAGTCACCGGTGACCGACGTTAGCAGAGGATTTGCCTTCAACAGTTTTCTATTGGCAGTCAAAGCCTTAAACTTAACAGTTCATTGCAAATTTTTTAAACGCTTCTCCTGAAATAACTCCATCTAAACATTCTATAATCCAAGATTATACGCTACTGTAGATCAAACACAACTTCATAGCTACTCGACAGTCGCGCATACAGCCACTCGACCAAACAGCCAGTCAAATATTCAAATGAACTTTTAAACTGTCAAACACCAAGCGGTCACCGGTGACCGCAACCTATTGTTCTTTAATTGTGTCTACAAAACCGGTACTCGACGAGTTAAATGATGACGTAATCAACGAATATTTTATCGCATAATGCAGCCACGGTTCGTTAACTTACAAGTGGGTACAAGTGGGTAAATGTAGGTATTAATGCTTCATTCATCTTTACACCCACACTCGTAATATTTAGCTGAATAATTACACTGGTACTTGATAGACACGATTGTTAAACAACTTGCTGTTGAATTTGATATCGATTTTGTTGACTTAATCAATACACATTCATTTAAACTTAATTGAAGATATCATACTACTTAATGTTTCAATACATAGTTATTTTTTTCTACTAAAATGTATTCAAATCCGCATACTTAGGAGTATGAATGATCATAATAGGGAAAAAGATTCCCCGGTTGGGCAAAGTATTACTGGGTTTTTAAAATATCTCAGTAGTAGCACGGAGTCTGGAATTGTGCCCGGTATATGGCAATAAGCCCACCCCCTATTATACAGAACGCATGACATAAATAGTGAAAAATGGGTGTTACATTATATAGTGACATTAAGTGCATGTGCACCTCTGCCTACCCTTTCAGAAATAAAAAGGCGTGATATGACGTGTTATAATTATATATCTGCAGATTGTTCTGCAACAACAGACAATATCTCCCCATAACAACAAATACAGACGTTTTAACGTAATTACGAAATCACTTATTTCAGTAAAAACAAAGTAGAGCGGCTTACAGTACGTAACGTCCCAACTTTAGTTATAAATAACTTGAGATGTTCGGTAGTCTGGGGGAATGTCGGACGGACGACAAATGCGATTTGTTTTATATACGTAGTACGACATACAACCTCTTTACTGTGGTGTCGGTCGATATTTTTAGGGTTTTGCTACGTCAAAGGATAAGTACTTTTGTATTGTAAATTACGACGTTTCATTCACTATTTAAATACTTAGGTACTTGTTGTCTTCATTATATCGCGTTTACCATCCACAAAATCCGCCATCTTTTCCATAGAGTATGTAGAATATTTTAATTTTTTTCTTTAAAGACAATTAATATGTCTACGGCCTAGTACCTACACCTTCAATCTTAGTCTTTCAGCCAAGTTCATTACTCGTTTAAGCGTTAACGTCAAAAATAGTTCTTATTACAATAACTACACACTGTCAATTAACATAACCAAGTCAAAATATGCTGAACCACCAAACACTTCAAGAAGTAATAGCCTCGGTTAACATACATACATACTCTTACAAAATTACCGCTTCCCCAATAAATTACACCAAATTACATTTACAATTATAAATAAAAACCAAACAAAGAACATCGTTAGATATTTAATAATCCAAAACAAACATATTTAACAGGATGGGACCAAACATTATTTTTCAAAACTCAAACCGAAGCTGGGCACAGGAAAGTCACGTACAGCCAACATAACTATACTATTTATTTATCAAAACGACACTTAAGCACGATTTTATATTTATTTTCTGTACCTACATGTAGATTTTAATGCATTTATAAGTTATTGGACGTTTCATCTTGGCTGAATGAGTGTTGACTTTTGCCCTTTGTGTGGAAAAAAGTTTAAATGCTTGTTTTTGGTTGAGCCTTGTGTAGGCTGGTTTGGGACTTGGTTTACATGAGAATTATTTTGTGATTATTACTAAGATGGCTTTTTTAAATGTTTTACTTAAGTATTAAAAATTTACTCTGTAAAATTTACACTCAATTTATTTCAATAGTTAATCACATTCTATGTATCTTGCTATACGATTTTAGGTAAGCAGTATTCCTAAACACAAACAATTTTAAACACATAATAATATCTTCAACAACACATAACTAAAAGGCAGACCAAAAGACGATCTTGAGTGCTCCTATGAAATGAGGGCCATTTAGCTATTTTTATTAATACCGCTAAGTGGTACAAACCATCACATTACCACCATGCCTAATCCGACGCACCCCACATCTCACCAACGAAAATAAATAGCAAATCAATAAAAATAATACAATTATCAAACAGTCGACAGAAAAAAACATGGCCGTTCCCGCCAAAATTTGACAGATGCGTTCATGACATTATCGTGTTGGGCAAACAACACCAAATGTCGCGTTCAGTGCTACAGTAATTGTTAATTATCATTTTTATAAGCTTACGCCGCACGCTTTGATGTGTTAAATAATAAATACAATTAGTTATATTAACGGAGAGTTAAATAAACAGTGATTAGGTGGAAATATTTTTGTTATTGATTTGATTAATTTTGATTAGTTGCAGATAAATTGGTTTGTTTACACTGTAAGCGTAGATTACAATCATATGTATATAGATTTATTGTATTTTACTTATTAGAGAGTTTTGGTGACTCATTTTATTAAAATTGTAATTTTCATTCATGAATTTGTTCTATATTTACGTAACATAACATAACATCACGCCTTTTATCCCCGAAGGGGTAGGCAGAGGTGCACATTACGGCACTTAATGCCACTGTACAATATAACACTTACTTTTCAATATTTATGTTATGAGTCCCATGTAATAGGGGGTGAGTCTATTGCCATATACCGGACACAATTCCAGCCTCCGTGCTACCAAAGATTTTTTTTAAAAGACCCAGTAGTACTTTATCCTACCCGGGAATTGAATCCGAGACCCCTTCCGTGGCCGAGTCGCACTTACGACCACTCGGCCATTTTCAGTGTGGCACCCTTGGTACCAACCAGTCTACCAACTATCTCCAACTCTTCAACGACTAACCACTACCAATTCTTCCACAGGTGCACCTCACGCTCTTCTTGGCAAGACCAGAAGGCCACGCACAGCATTCACGTCACAGCAACTCCTGGAGTTGGAGAAGCAGTTCAGAATGAATAAGTACCTGTCCAGACCAAAGAGATTTGAAGTAGCCACCAGCTTGATGCTCACGGAGACTCAGGTGAGGAGATGTGTGGAATTTTGTACGAAATTCTGTTTTATAGGGGTTGGGAAAAATTATTATTATTCGCTGTCAGACTTTGTAACTTAGTAGGTATGTTTATATTAAAACTTTTGTGAAATATACTAATTGCGGGTCGCGGAATGCTGCTCATGAATAGGAGCCTCTAGCATGGCTTGAAACTGGTCGAGTTCCTCGTCAAACAGTTACGTGAGTAAGCCGAAAACAAAATAATTACTTTGTAGGTACTTAGTAGCAAAATGTAATACTTAGTTAATAAGTGTGTGAGAGCCATGTATCGGCACGAATGGGCCGGCTCGACCGGAGTATCGCTCCGGTCTAGCCGGCGTCGAGGATCTAGGTATAAGATTGGCTATAATAGGCATTCAATGAAGGCTTATATACCTCTACACTAAAACTTTGAATAGATTCGCTTGAATTGAATTACTATTACACATAGAATTTTTCAGAGCTACTTTAATTTGGACAAGATTGTCATAACTATTACAAAAAGAGCCACAACCATTGTTATAATTAATTAATTTAAAAACAATTCACATACACATTAACAGTCTATAAGTGGCCACTGCTGACCAAAGGCCTCTTTTCCCTCGGAGAAGGTTTGAGCATTCATCACCACGTTTGCTCAATACGGTGTGGCAATAGGCGTGTCGACAGGGTAAAAAAATCAAAAAGTAATTAGTCCGTCATGAAGATCGCACGAAAATATCAGACACGTATTTTTTGTTTTATCAAATTAACAGAAGAATACGTAGTTATTCCGCATTAATCATAAGTCTCGCGCCGTACCCTACGGAGCACGGTCGCGTTTTTCGTAACTGCCGGGGACTCGCGCGTTAAGGGTTATGGCACAGACTATGGCCTCGTCTATTGTGAAGTGTTCCAACTGTAATGTTGTGATCAATGAACTTTTAGCGTTTCTTTCGAACGTGCTGGATTATATGGATGAAGAGAGCATACACCAGCTGGTAACGTCGTCCTTCGATGTCGAAAGCATCTCACAGGCGAAGTGTTTGCTTTTTGATTCCGTTCCTAATACAAGAAAAATGCCGGTGAGGCGTAAGGATGGGAAGAAGAGAATGTCTCGAGACCTGGATGACATGATTTGTCTAATGAAAGGTATGGATGCAGAAGTATTCCCTGTGTTCGTCGCAAAGGACTTACATAAAGTACCTAGCGTGAGTTTTGATCACATTGATTGTACTCGTTTGCTAAAGGATTTAGCGAAGGTTCGTTATGATGTCAGTGTGTTACAAGAAAACGTCGTAACAAAAGAGATGCTTGATGCATTTAGAAAGGATATGAGACAAGCGTCGATTATTGCTGACAACTATACATCTCAGGATCAATTTGTTAATAGAAGGAGAGGAGCTTGTCTGCAGGAGAGCTACTATGAATTGTGCAGCGGCCCTGTTGGCTTGCAGTATGTTCCTATTAAGGCTAATAGTGCATCGTCATCGTCGTCGTCGGGAGCTAAGCATTGCTCAACGCCTACGAAGATTCAATCATCGCCCGCGAGCACGCAGCCTATCTCTTTTCAACGCGAGCAATCGAATGAAAGGGAGACAAACGTTAGCAAGCATGTGGAGGCCCAGACGCGGACAGTGGTTTCGAACAACGTTAGTGGGGCGAGCGGTGTGAGTGAAAGCAGCAATGTTTCTAGTCCTGAACGCGGTGGCAGTGGGAGCGAGACAGCAGCACCAAGCGGTGAGGTTCCGCGAGAAGGTACTGTGGTTTCGAATATTATACCGAACAGTGAACATGAGTGCGCGCGCGCGTGTTATAATGAATCGGTTAAAATACCGAACGTTAACTTGCAATCAGCTGTTAATACTATGCTACCTTCATTGTTAATAAGTAAAAATGTTTGTCAGGTTGCAAGGAACTGCTCACAGGTACCTAAAGATACTTCTGAATGGCAAGTTGTTCAGTCAAAATCTGCCAGGAGATATAAACTTATTGGTCAAAAAGGCCGGGCTTCTACAGCGCCGGACGGCAAGTTTAAAGCTGCTGACATAAAAGTTCCTTTGTTTATTTCTAACGTCTGTAAAGATACTTGTGAGCAGGACATTGTTGGTTATATAAAAGATAAAACCGGTGAGGTTGTGTCACTAAAAATGATAAAAATGAAAACGAATCGAAAATATAATGCATATAAATTGTTTGTCTCTAAAAATAATTTAAATTTATTTTTAAATGATGACTTTTGGCCTGATGGGATTACGTTTCGGCGGTTTGTGCATTTTATGTACAGACAGAAACAAAACGATAATGTTAAAGTTTAATTGTATTAAATCATGAGTAGTTGTAAAGAAATAACAAATGATAAATGTAAGTTCATTAGTTTTAACTGTAAAAGTTTTAAAACTTCCATAGAAGATGTGAGAAAATTTTGTATGTCAGCGAATGTAGTATGTCTCCAGGAAACTTGGCTTCTTAGCCATGATCTGCCACTTTTGGGTACTGTATCTCCTGATTTTGAATATGTAGGTAAGAGTTCAGTTGACAGCAGTGAATTGCTGGTCGGTCGACCTTATGGTGGTGTGGCCATACTATGGCGAAAGGGTATTTTTGATTGCGTTTCTGTGATAAATTGCAACAGTGACAGACTGTTAGCTGTCAAGGGTACCATAGGTGGCCGTTCCATTCTAGTTTTTTGTGTATACATGCCAGTAAAGGCGAGGGAAAACTTGCCAATATTCACAGACATTCTCAGCGAAATCAGCTCAATCGAGGAAGGTAATGGTGTTCAGACTGTTGTAATTTTAGGAGACTTAAATGCACAGCCAGGCCAATTATTCTTTAGCGAGCTTAATAGCTTCTGCACGGATAGATCATGGATATGCGCAGACGTGGAAATGTTAGGCATTGACTCGAACACTTTTACCTATTTCGATACATACCATCGTAGGGGTAGTTGGCTGGATCATTGTATTGTCTCACAAGCAGCTTGGCAATCTACGGTTGATGTGGGGATAATTGAGGATATTTTTGTTTCTGATCATTTACCGATATTTATTGAATTTAATTTGGGTTCAATTAGACCGATTGCCGCATTCCAAGATACATCGCGTAGTGCTGTAATTTGGGGTGATAGGGATGACGCTCAGATTATCAAGTATCAGGATTTATGCAATAAAGGCTTGAGAGATATTGACTTCCCCACAGAATTTGAATTGTGTAGTTTTGGGGCCTGTTCTTTATCTAACCATAAGGTAATCCTGGATAAAATGTATAAAACGTTTGTTGACGTATTATGTGATGCGGCTGTTCAATCCAACAATGTCAGTCGTAAGCAGCATAATAAGCGAGTGTGCGGCTGGAATGAACATGTGAGGGAAGCGCATCGGGAGGCTAGGCTGAAGTACCAAAACTGGGTGATTCTCGGTAAACCAAGTGATGGTCCCGATTATCACCAGATGTGCGAGTCCCGGAAAATTTTTAAAGGGCGGCTAAAATGGTGTCAAAAAAATCGAGACCAAATTAAAATGGACGCTATAGCAAAACAAAGAGCTGAAAAAGATTTCACTAAATTTTGGAAGTCCACCAGTAAGCTTGATATTAAGCCTGGCCTCCCTGCGAATGTAGACGGCCGGAATGACCCGGAGGACATAGCGAATTTATTCATGGAGCACTTTAAAGTGCGTTCTCCACTGGGTCCTTCGACCACTATGCCAGATGACGGGTCCATCGTGTCGGGTAAGGAGCCTTTACTTAAATTTACAGCGAAGCAACTGAAAAAAGTTATAAGTACTATGCGTAGAGGTAAATCTCCTGGTCACGATGGGCTCAGTATTGAGCACTTCAAATATGCGGGCGTGCACGGGCCGAGGGTCCTGTCCATGTTCTTCAATTTATGCATTAGTCATTCATACTTACCGGACGAATTGATGAAAACTATAGTGGTGCCCATTTTGAAGAACAGGACAGGGGACATATCAGACAAGGAGAATTATCGCCCCATCTCTCTCGCCACAACAGTGGCAAAACTGTTGGATAGTGTGCTTGAGTCGTGTCTGGATAACTACATAAATATACATGACGCTCAGTTCGGGTTTAGGCCTGGACTGTCAACTGAAAGCGCGATCCTGGCACTTAAGCACACTGTCCAGTACTATACTGAACGGAAGACCCCGGTGTATGCCTGTTTCTTGGATCTCTCCAAGGCCTTCGATCTCGTTTCATATGAAGTGCTTTGGGGGAAGCTGGGGGATGGGGGTATACCTGCGGAACTATTGAAACTGTTTCAATACTGGTACTCGAATCAGACTAACTGTGTCAGGTGGTCAAACTGTCTTTCAAAGTCGTACAGGTTGGAGTGCGGAGTGAGACAGGGGGGATTGTCTTCTCCAAAGCTGTTTAACTTGTACATAAATGACCTCATAGTCGGGCTCAGTGGCATGCGTGTCGGATGCCGGGTGGGGGGTGTCTGTGTGAACAACATCAGCTATGCGGACGATATGGTGCTGCTGGGCCCGACTGCGAGGTCAATTAGGGGGATGCTCAAAGTTTGCGAGGAATACGCCGCATCACATGGTCTTATATATAACGTAAGGAAAACACAATTCATGGTCTTTGGGGCTGCCGGCAAGTGCCCTGACTCCTTTCCTTCAATAACTTTGAATGGCTCTAGTATAAAGCAGGTAACGAAGTTCAAATATTTGGGACATATACTTGTCGACGACCTTAAGGACGATGAGGACGTGGAGAGGGAGCGCAGGGCGCTGGCGGTTCGCGGGAACATGTTGTCGCGCAGATTTTTTCGTTGTACCGATCAGGTAAAAATAACTTTGTTTAAAGCGTACTGCCAAGGCCTGTATGCGGGAAGTCTGTGGTTCAGCTGTTCGCGTGGAACGCTAGGCGCCTTGCGCGTCCAATACAATAATGTTTTCAGGATGATGTTGAAACTCCCGCGTTTCTGTAGTGCCTCGGGGATGTTTGCTCAATCGCATACAGATAGTTTGAATAGGCGTGTCGACAGGGTAAAAAAATCAAAAAAGTAATTAGTCCGTCATTAAGATCGCACGAAAATATCAGACACGTATTTTTTGTTTTATCAAATTAACAGAAGAATACGTAGTTATTCCGCATTAAAGTTAGGGAGTGGGGGGTGTTGACGTCACACTTACGGAGAAATCGTACCTAATTGTGACGTCACGCGTCATTTTAACTCAAAATATCTACATGTTTTTTTGGATACGAGAAAAAAATACGTATCGAAGATTTTTAAAATATCTAAAAGACGGATAAAAAATTAAAAAATAGTCGCCATGCCTATTTCAAACTTATAATTAGAAATCCTAACAAAATTAAAAAAAAATCAATTAAAACCAAATAAATTGACACATCACACAACCATAATAAATCTAACCACTCACCGTCACGAATACGACACTACAAACAACCCAATTTTGACATTTGTTTTGGCGCTAACATCTGTCATCATGGCGGATTTACGTTTACAAATGTACCTATGTTAAGATTACAAGGGTAAAGCTTTACGGCTCACGAAGGTTTAAAGATTAATATCACACCCCAGGGTGGGTCTAAGACATTTATACGATATTTACACCTGTCTGTATTTATATGGGTTTCATATAGGTAGTTATGTGTTGTTATAAAGGGAGGGGTGAAGCTTTGGGGTTCTTTTGAGGTTTTCTGTGATATTTCTGTCATTTTTTGTGGAGAGCTTTTGATTTTAAAAATGAATTCAATGGTTTTGCTACATCAATTTTTGTTGATTCAATGAATGGACCCATCCACTATTAGCCTCCTTTACAATCCTCCTTTAAAATGAGTTTTAAAATACTGACGAATAATAAAGTGTATTTCAGCCTTGCCTATACTTTCAGATAAAACTGTCAACCACACCACATTATGTTAACAATGAATATTTTTTGCCCACAGGTAAAAATCTGGTTTCAAAACAGAAGAATGAAGTGGAAACGATCAAAAAAGGCGCAACAGGACTCTAAGAATAAAGATACGCCACAGACTGAAGACAAGAAACCAAAAGAAATACCAAATGAACAAGAAAAACCTCCTTCAATGGCGGGAGATTTGACAGCTGTCAAACCTATGTTAGACAGGGACAGAATTATCGCGCTAGAGAGAGAAAGGGCGATGGCTGCAGCGAATTTTAATTCGAATTTGGAAAATAGGCGCGGATTGGTCGTTATGAATCAAGATGGCGGTAGACCTATGGACATGTTTAGGCCGTATGTGGTATGAGAGTAAAATTATCTTTTCGTTTTTTATTAATTCGTTATTTTTTTATGAAATAACTATATAATTTACTTTTTATGTTGCATAACAATATTTTTTAATTCATGAGTTGAGTTTTAAGACTTTTTTAATTGAGGCTGTATTAATAAGGACTTAGATTTGTCAAAAACGTATACTATTTAAATAAAATTAAGCTAGATAACCTGTCCTAGTCAAGCATAGTGTAAATTTATACATTAATATAGTTAAATAATAGTGATAATGTAAATAATAATTATTGTATTGAGCAATCTAATAATAATACACCTTTTTCGAGGTTATATGACGTCATATGTAAGTACAATCGACAAAGTTGGCGGTCGACCACCATTAGACGATATTCGAATGCACGCATCGCGAGTGACCACAGGGAAAACGCCCGGTGCGGTGGATAGGGAGTTTACCACAAGAAACTTTGTCGATAGTACGTAATACACTGACCTATTCTTAAAGAACTACCAAAATCCATTTCTTTATTTTTGACATATTATAGGTATCCCTACAGTAATGTATGTACCCCATACCACAAAAAAACGGTGATTGGTCCTAGCCTAATTAGTTGAATTGCTGAAACCTAACCGACAACACCATTAGATTACATAACATTAGCGATAAATTGATTATAATGGACCTTCCACTATAGCGCCTCTAGTGACAAGAAACGTCCAATTCAGTCAGTTGGTTACGGAACTCCGTCGTGTACAGACGTCTTCACAAATTCCAAAAATAAACTTATTACACTGAAACGTTTGTGAATGTATAGTTATATTATATCCTATTAGATTACATACCTAATATAATTATTATAAGGACTGAAGCAGGCCAAATGTATGTACTTAATATTAATATAGAGAATTATTTAAGAAAAAGTAAAGCTAAGCTAAAATATTTACTTTAAAAAAAGCTATAATTAATGTTTTTGAATTTATTTAGCGTTAAGTTTAAACAGTCAGCATTTATTTTAAATTATTTTATTAACCCGAGACATCTTTCGAAACAGTATTATTTGTTTTTAAGCGACTAACATAGCCAGTATTATGTGTATAAATGTAATTATATATCTTAGATTACTTGGTCACACTAATAAGTATCTGTAAAATAATTTGCGAGGGTCGTGTTTTTTAAGGGTCGGCAAGACGCATGTAATGCCCCAAGTGTTGCAAGCGTACATAGGCCACGGTAACCGCTTACCATCAGGTGGGTCGTGAGAATTTTTTGCCATCGTCGTCGTGGAATAAAAAAATGTTCAACTATACTGATTACCTACCTATTCAGCTCCGAAACTTATTGATATGGTTGTATGTATGTCAAATCAAATAAATTATGTTCGGTGTATGGTAAGACTCGCCCCCTATTATATGTTTGTATGTGACACTTAAAAAATGGCGAAAATTCTATGTTATATTGTATATCACCTCTGTCTATATCTTCAAGGATTATAGGAGGTGGCGTTTACTTATGTTATGCTTTTAAACAATAAGGGCCAATTTTTCAATCATAAGTTAATCCTTAACTGAAGAATAAAACAAAAGGCCAATTTTTCAAGGCTCAGATAAATTTTTACTCTTTGAGTACCGTTATTATATAACTTTGAATATTTGACAATTCTTCCATACTAAAAACTGTCAACTGTCAATTTTATTCTACAATTCAGAATTAACCATTTGAGTGCCGTCATTATAGACACAATTAAAAAACAATAGGTTGCGGTCACCGGTGTCCTCGCGGTGTTTGACAATTTAAGCGACGATTGACAAATCGACCCTAAAAACAATTAAACTGAATAGTGTGACCATACTTTATAATAAATAGTAGAATAAGAATAGATATAAATACAATATTTGAACGTTTTTCTATGCACAATTCTGAACAAAATAAGTAGATTATTTATGGTATTAAGGAGAACAAAACTAAGGTTTTTATAATCATAATTTTAGTTTAAATGTGATGCATACAGTGTGCAGTTTTTAATTGAGCCTAGTATTAAGAAAATAAGTTCGCCCGTAGAAATCATTAATATTTTTTGTATATATATTTTATTTAAACATTTGGTAAGATTTGTTGAAAATATAAAATCACATACTTACAAGAACACATTGATTTAAAATATCGCATTGCTTCACCTTGTGGGTACAAAATATAGATGTACCTAATACCCAGATTATTAAAATATTTTGAACAAGATCCTGCATTTTACCTACAAATTTTGTTCTGAATTGTAATTCAAGCTCAGAAACTACAATATCAAATCATTTTTTATAAGTCAAATACACACTTAAATACATCGTGAAATATATTTCACGATGTATTTTCTTGAGGAGCACTTTCGATGAATAAAGTAAAACCTTTTTTTTAAATGTATATTTGTGATACCACGGCCAAGCAGAAAACCGACGTAAAGCAACTTGTTTCGTCGTGTGATTGAGGTTACCGTAGTCCCAAATATATTCCTCCCCAATCTCCTGAATCTTTGAATCCCCCATAATCCCCAAAAGGCCTTAAACGCATTGGTAAACCCTCTGGTGTTTCGAGGGTTCATGCTTATCCCGTAAAAAATATAGGCCTCTTCCTTAGTGGTCCTAAACGACTCTAAGAATTGATGCTAAATATGAAATCACAGTTTTTAAATGTAACTAAATTTTAATTTACCTTTTCTCGTTCGTCTAGGCTGTGAAAAAAACATTATTTTGTCTTGTAAACTATATATTATGTGTATTTATTCCAAAATGGTTTGATCTTTGTAGTTTTCGAGTGTAGATATATTTGTAATTGTTTACATTTTCACATAAAATCCTGTAATATATAAATAAATAAATGAATAATCGTAATAAATTATAGTTTAATATAATATAATAATAATATGCAAATTATGAAATAAATATATAGTTGATATGTTGGAAATTGACGTTTTATTTTCTATTTTTACCTCTAACTTATCTAGGGTTCGAATCCCGAGAGCTCTTATTTGAAAATCATGGAGTCTGGAATTGTACCTGACATACAGCGATGGACTCGACCTTAAAGAGACAGAAAGTGGATTTTGTATGTATAGGTAGGTATACCTACAATTCTGCCTACCTCTTCAGGGAATGAAAGACTAAATAGTTTGCCCGATATAGACTTCTTTGAATGACTTTTAGCTGAATGCTCAATGACAGTATTATAAGCATGGCAAGTCAAAGCATTTATATCAATTAAACCATAATTTGGTACATTTGAAACGTCAACAAATACAAAATACATAATAGTCTGTCACTCAGTCCGTCAGTGAAGCTACATGAAGCTAAGTGCTCATTCCATAATGTAGATTCGAATGGAGAAGAACGAGCAAGAAACTCCATTCGTTACTCTTTTCGGTAACTAGGAACCCCAGACTCCCGCCTCACCCAGGCGAGAAAAGCCATTCGAGGATTTTCCCCTCTTAAAAAAGGCCTTATGTACTTGCATACGGCTTAGTTCGTGAAATGATCTTTATAATTAACAGCCAAAGGGAATACTGCTGATGATAGTGAGAGTTAAGTGTGGGAGAGCCATGCTTCGGCACGAATGGGCCGGCTCGACCGGAGTGATACCACGGCCAAGCAGAAAACCGACGTGAAGCAATGCTTGTGTTATATTTCGTCATGTGAGTAAGGTTACCGGAGGCTCGATTATCGCCCTCCTCAATCTTCCCAATCCCCGGATCCCCAACAACTCTCAAATTTCTAATCCCCAAGAGGCCGGTAGCGCATTGGTAAAACCTTTGGTGTTTCGAGTGTCCATGGGCAGCGCAGGTTGCTTACCGTCAGTTGATCCGTCTGCTCGATTACCAGTTTAATGCACAAAAATAGACCTACCTTTAGTCCTCTTTAATGATCTAAAGAATGGCTGCTAAATATTAAATCACAGTTTAAAAGACTCAGATATATCAGATAACGCTACAGCCCAGTGTCTGTACAATGTGTAATGCTTTAGTGGTTTTTGCGACCTGTGTGGTCGTTGGGACAAATATATTCTACTCTATCATCACTACAAGGCTTAAGGCAATATTATTATAACAATATTTACAAAAAGAACAAGAATTCCCAAAAAACTATTTGAGAAAAGAGGAAAAACAAGAACACGTTGAGTGTTGCCATCCTTTGAATATAGGTATACATATATCTGGCAACTCCGAACAGTTAAATAACATGCGACTGGTAACGGTTCGCTTACAACACTAAATTAAGCTGAGGGAGGGAGGGGGGCGTAGGGAGACCATGGTTTAAGAGGAAAATAATGTTGTGTTGTTTTGATGTTCTTCAATTGAATAATATTTATTGAGATTGTAATTGTCTGTCGTTTAGTTTTGGTAATCAAAATAATTGTTAGCCGGAACTTAATAAATTATCAACACGCATTTTATCCCGAAGGGGTAGGCAGAGGTGCACATGGCAGCACTTAATGCCACTGTAGGTACAAAGTAATACCCACTTTTCGCTATTTATGTTATGCCTCTCATGTAATAGAGGGTGAGCCTATTGCCATTCATCGGTCAAAACTTCAGGCTCCGTGCTACTACGAGTTTTTTATAAAACCCGACCCGGTAATCGAATACTTTACCTTAACTCGTCGAGTACCGGTTTTGTAGACACAATTAAAGAACAATAGGTTGCGGTCACCGGTGACCGCTTGGTATTTGACAGTTTAATACTATATCGAATACTTTACCTTAATACTATTTAATACTTTACCCGACCCTGTAATCGAATCCGAGAACCCTTGCCCGGCAGCGCACTTGCGCTACTCAGCCAATGAGGTAGTCACACACTTGTATAGCAATATTAACCGTTTGAATGCACTGATATGAGACACAATAGAACATACGTTGTGACTCACGTGGATCCGCGTTTAGATTCACGAAAGGTTAATCTATTTTTACCATTATCAGTACAGTGCAAGTGCATAGACATACAGACATATAAACGAATTGAGAACCTCCTCCTCTTTGGGAAATCCGTTAAAATATCACACTACCAAAAGCTCAAAAGAAAAGAACAGTCCTACATTTCCCTAAACTCATACACCCCCTAATATTCTGAAGTGATGTTGGTTGTATAAATTGGTGTCGAAAAACTGAGCCGCTCTCGTATTCCGTGGCCGTCGCCGAGTGAGAGGGAGGATAGTGCTGTCCCACTCGGTAGCTGCCTTGTTATGGATAGGGGGATATATTCATAGTCAGGAGGAAAATGATTTTAGTTTTTCAAACGTTCTTCGTTGGTTTATACAAAATTTCTTAGATTAGATTAGCACTTCTTTAACACTAATTTTGCACTACTCAAGCCAAAAAAGGAGATAAAATGGCAGTTCACAATACCACGCCAAATATCACACTTCTGTAACACGAAACTCGTAGTTCAGAATGCATAGCACAGGGCTGCACGATGCTTTTAGCGTGTATCACGTAGCACGGAGCAGCTCGTGCCTCGTAACGCATTTCACAAAGTGTCACCGTGCTCATAGATCGCAACGCGTCGCACAGAGTAGTGCGGTGTACGTAGCTCGTAACGGGTAACAGAGTAGAACGATGCGCGTAGTTCGTAGGGCGAACCACAGCGCAGAATGACGCTCGAACACATCTGCTAGCTAGCTCGAGTCCTATAGCACGCATTGTAGAATGAAACTCCTAGCGCGTAGCCCAAATCTATAGCACGGGTCACTAGACTCGTAGTGCGTAGCACACGTCTGTAGCACTAGACTCGTAGTGCGTAGCACACGTCTGTAGCACTAGACTCGTAGTGCGTAGCACACATCTGTAGCACTAGACTCGTAGTGCGTAGCACACTTCTGTAGCACTAGACTCG